GCCACACTCACTGCACTCGGATCTCTTCTGTTTTCCTGGTGCAACAGGGACTTTCAAGCAACTGAATGAGATGCAGCTGCTTGAACAGCCTCAGCTCAAATCTTTTTGTTTGAGGAACACGCTTGTTAGTTCCAGTTCATGTTGCACATCCGTATGGCACCAGCAGAACAACAAGACCTCCTGGCTGCTCTGGATGTTTTTCTTTCCCTCCCCCTTTATTTAGCCAAACAAGACAGAAGAATCAACAAGGCTGGCTGAAGTTGCCCCAGGCGTGGCACCCTATTTACCCAACAGGATCTCCAGGCGTGACGAGAGGTCAACCAACCTGGGATAAATACCCTTTCTTGCTGCTGGCAGGGCATGCCTGGAGCTGCTTCCATCGCCTCCCCCTCACCCTTCGCAACCCAACCCAATTATTTTGGAGTCCCAGCACCATAGGGAGAGAGGGAGCGGGGTTCTACCTTTCCCCTACTCGGCCGGCTGCCAGAAAGCACAGGCTCTGCCTAAAGACGTGATCCTCTTTCTGCAAGCGATTAAACCTTTCACTCTCCAGGCTGCTTCAAGCCTTCAACTTTCACATGCTTGGCCCCGTGCCATCTCTGGCCTGAAAAAAAAAAAACACCCTTCTGTTCACTGGATGCAAATAAAAGGGTCTTTCTGAAAGGGTTGCTGGTGGAGTTCACTGCTGTTTCCCGGGGCCATGCCAGCACTGCGGCTCTGCCGGACAATAAGCAGGGAGCCGCCGGCAGAAGCCTTCCCAGTGCCTGCCCGCTCTGAAAGCGGCCACAAGCTTCCCCAGGCAGAAGGCACAGGGCTGGCCTGCCAGATATTATGTGCTTTAAGATTTGCCAGAAAACTCACTCGACTTGCTAATGAGAAGAAGCCAATTTGTTTTCTCTCAGTGATATCAACATCGGGGATTAGGCAAGAGAAAAAGGAGCTCATGGCTCGGCCGGGTGGGAGGGAGTTGGGATGCCCAGGGCACTGGGGATGCTCAGGATCTCCCCATCGGGGACAGAGCAGCATGAGAAGGTGCTGAGCTCTTGCATCCCCCTGCCCTGCAGCATCCTTGGAGGCTGGGGGGCCCTCGCTGCCTCCCACCATGCTTCACAAGGGTTGCTGCACCCAGCACCCATCAGCTGGCACAGAGCTGACAGCACAGCCTACATCTGCCTCCAGTAAGTAGCAAAGACCTAAATCCATCTCTGTGCACCCCACCTTCAGTATAACCCGAGAGCAGAGCATGGGGGCTGGACTAGCTGACCTTCAAAGGTCCCTTCCAACCCAAACGATTCTGGGATTCTATGATACACTACTGAGGGCAAGTCACAAAGCAGAGCTTGGAAAAAAACAGGGGGGGAAAAGTTTTGAGACAGTTTTCCAGTTTGCTAGTGCTGCTCTGACCGAGGGAGACCTCCCACAGCCCCACCGAGCCAAGCACCAGGAGGAGTTTGGAGCCCCACATCCCATCCCTCTCCTTGTCCGCATTGATTCTGTGGCTCTTTGTTCTGCCTACCCAGCTTTCTGGCACACCGGTGACAGCTCCAGGCTCTACGTACAAATTACCACGTGTTTTCCCATAGCTTATCCCTGTGTTAAGCCCTGGGCAGGACTTCCCCATGCATCCTCACCCTGCCTGGTTTCTGTTTGACTCACACTGGACATCCCCAGACAGCTGCACAAACGGAGCCAGCACCGTGATTTAGCTGACATAACATGAGAGCAGCTGCTCCTGGCCAGCAAACCCTGTGGGGACACCAGTTCCCGTCTGGGAGGGTGGCTGCAGGACACGGCACAGCTGGGGACACCCGCTCTGCTGCCCTTCGCTCTGCGGGAGCTCCTCCAGCCCCCTTGCCAGCAATGAGGATGCTCCAGGCAGAGCCAGGAGCTCCGGATGCAGCGTCTGCTCGCCTGCTCTCATGCACATTTCCCAGGGCGATGGATGTCCAGCGCCTTCACTGCCTGGGCATTTGCTGCAGCTCAGCACCTTCTGCTAAGAACAGTGCAAGCTGAGGCACTTGTCTTTCATGTATGAGCCCTAACCAAAAGCCAAGGGAGACGGAGGCACAAGGATCTAGCCCTCCTCTAATGGCCCAGGGCTCCCTAAGCCTCCCCTCTGCCAGCAGACAGAGTGAGAAGCAGATCCTGCCTGGTGAAGTGAGAGCAGGTGAACAAGAGTTAACCCCAAGGAGCAGAGATCCTCCTTTCCTGCCTGCATTCACCCCCGCACCTACCAATCCTCTTTGACAAATACCTGCTAGCAGTGTTTGTCCACTCCCCACTGCATTCTTAAATATCAGGCAGAAAAATTCCTCTTAAATCCTTAAATTCCTGTTGGACTAATACTGATCCAGAAGGCTAGGATCCTGCCTGTGCTCCAGATCCTCTCAGTCTGGCCAAACTCCCAAGCTTGGGTTTTGCGAGCAAATCTCACATCCTGACTTGGGACAACTGAACCTTTTGTTTCCAAACGGTTGCAACTGCTGCAGGTTTGCTCAGCGCAGAGGACTGGGGCGGCACAGGCAGATACTCACTCTGCATCGGCACGGGCTCCCCGCTAGCGTTCTGGCTCTGGTTGGTGAGGCTGAAGCTTTTCTTCACGTTTACCTTCCACTTTGGAGACTGCGTTTTGTTGTCCTTCAGATGTAAGGGGATCAGTAGATTGACCTAAAAAAAAAAATGCACAAGTCAGAACAGTTTTATCGCGACTTATTTTCACCACTGTTACTCAAGGGAGCTGATCGGCCAAACCACCAGAGCTGGGGCTGAACTTGCCCAGAAGCCTCAAGGAATAGGAGATACCCGAGGCTGGCAAAACCAGAAATGATTGTGGTTTTTCACACCCAAGCTAATGAGTTTATTTTGCAGATAAACTCAAAGGAAGAGCCCAGAGAGGCTCTGTTCCCACACACCAATTCCTCCTATTGCTCTGTGCAAATACTCGGGAAGCTTGCAGTTTGCTTCCCTTGCCCCAACGCTGCAGCACAAGGACCAGGGCCGTGGCCCTTGTAGGGTCCCCGAGGCCAGGGAGCAGCAGCAGAGACAGTTCTCCTGGCACCAGAGCCCTGTGCCAGCTGGGCTGGTTCATGCCAGAGCCCCTGCGGCGCGCAGGACCAGGCTGTGGTCCCTGCAACCGCAGAGCGGGACTGAAGCTCACCTTGCTCTGCAGGCTTTTAATCTGCAGGTTCTGCTTGTCCAGTTTGTACTGCTGTTGCTTGATCTTCTGCAAGAGCTCCTCGATTCGCAAGTTCTGTGCATCCATCAGGGACTGCGGGGGAAGAGCCAGGTGAACCCCGCAGCTCTGGGGAGATCCGGCTGTGCTGTACGTACCGCACGGAGCCAGGTGGGCCAGGCCCCCCGGTGGGGGGG